TGTGTGTGTGTGTTCATCAACGAATATATTCATCAAGGAGACAGGGTCTTGCTCTATCACTCAGACTGGAGTGTAGAGGCATAATCATAGTTCACTGTAACCCTGAACTCCTAGGCTTAAGTTATTTTCCTCAGCTTACTGAGTAGTTAGTTCTACAGGTGCACGCCACCACACCTGGCTAATTTTGTTTTAATATTTTGTAATGATGGGGTCTCCCTATGTTGCCCAGGCTGGCCTCAAACTCCTGGCCTCAAGCGATCCTCCCACCTTGGCCTCCCAAAGTATTGAAATTACAGGCATGAGCCACCACACCTGGCCATGATGCATATATTATATAGCATCATACATGATCATCAAGGAAATTGTCATAGTACAACATCATATATGACTACCAAAGAATAAGGTAGGCATAACGCATGCTTTAGGATAACTCAGAAACATCATGACAATGTATTTGGTTATCAGGGAGATGATGCACATATAGTATAGTGTCATATGTGGGTAACAGGTTATACTCAGACACAGTGTGGCATTGCGATGGTTAATTTTATGCATCAACTTGACTGTGTTAAGGGATACCCAGGTAGTTGTTAAAACATTATTTCTGGGTGTGTCTGTGAGGGTGTTAGACTGAGTAAAGAAGAGCCACCCTCACCAATGTGGGCAGGTATCATCCAATCCATTGAGGACCTAGATACAACAAAAGGTGGAGGAAGGATGAAATTCTTCTCTCTTCTGGAGCTGGGACATCCATCTTCATCTTCTCTGGCCCTCGGTCATCAGAGCTCCTGGTTCTCAGATCCTCAGACTCCAAGACTGACACTAATGCCCTCCTCAGTTCTCTCAAGTTTTTGGCCTCAGACTAAGAGTTACACCATTGGTTCCCCAAGTTTTTAGGTTTTCAGACTTGGACTGAATTACACCACTGATTTTCCTGATTCTCCAGCTTGCAGATGGCATATCGCAAGATTTCTCAGCCTTCATATATAAATATGTGTGTGTGTATACTTATATAATATTGGTTACATACTATATGTGTGTGTGTGTATTTATATACTATTGGTTATATATTTATATATAGTATAAACAGAATTATACATAGAGTAAATATAGTATAATATATAATATA